ATCAAATATATTTCAGCAACTCCCATATGGTCGCCCGTTAACGGAAAGAAATGTATTTGCTCTCGTATCTCATTTTAAGACAGCAAATATAGTCTAATGGCAGATCCTTCAGGCCCTTTTAATTTGCCGTTTCGTCATCTAATTTATCTCAGTAATTCGATTTGCTAGAGGAGATGAAATAGATGTTCTTGTAATTAAGGAAACATGGAAATAGTTGGGTGTAAAAGAGAACTTGAGAAAAATAAACAGTTTTATGAGTGGGTGAAAAGTTAGTTCTTTTTATACCTATCTTTATAGCTTGAAGATAACATAGCATGTAGTTGAAAATATCATTTATTCCATTTCGAGGTATTTCAAAAATCCAATGCCAATGTACCATTAATCTTGCAGTTTCTTAATGCTTAAGTTTTATTTTTTAAACTAATACATTCTAGCTGAAGAGATATTTTAGAATATTTAAATTTTGTTTATTTATTATTATTGCAAGCCCTCTTCGTAGATGACCTTGGTCACCTTTCTAAATTGTCCTGTACACCATATATTTTTCATTGACAACCAAGCCAAATGCCCAGAAAAACTGCATTTAAATATTTTAATTCTTCTACCCCCACCTCCAATCTCAGCAGCATAATTAGTATTCCAAAATAATTTAGCCAAATTCTTTCATCATCTAGCTGTTGTCCGTGACATCACTCGTTCAGAACCATTTTGATTTAAATTTTAACCATTTTCAAGAGATATCTGAGATATTGACAGAGTTCTTTAAGTATTGCATTAGAAATAATTTAAAACCTGTCCGGATGCAATTAAATTACACAAACCATCAGTGACCTTTTATCACAGCAGAAATATCAAATATATTTCTTTCTCTGTCGTGGCAAAAGATACAAAACTCATCCCAATGGTCTATTATGATCCGCTACTTCCCCGCGCAGCTCTAGAGCCATGACTAGGGACACGAAGTTTTCAGTAACTCCCAAATAGTCTCTTATTACGGAAAGAAATGTATTTGCTTTGACATCTCATATTAAGACTCCAAACATCACGACAGCTCTAGAGCCATTGCTTAAAACTAGACGTCTTCAAATGTATTTCAGTGACTACCAGATAGTCGCTTGTTAGGGAAAGAAATGTATGTGTTTTGTTATCTCATTTTAAGACACCAAATAACGCGCAGCTTTTGTGCCATAACTTGAAACTCGACGTTTTCAAATGTATTTCAGTGACTTCCAGATAGTCGCTTATTACGAAAAGAAATGTATTTGTCTTGTTATCTCATTTTAAGACGCCAAACATCACGGCAGCTCTAGAGCCATTACTTAAAACTAGACGTCTTCAAATGTATTTCAGTGACTACCAGATAGTCGCTTATTACGGAAAGAAATGTATTTGTTTTGTTATCTCATTTTAAGACACCAAATAACGCGCAGCTTTTGTGCCATAACTTGAAACTCGACGTTTTCAAATGAATTTCAGTGACTTCCAGATAGTCGCTTGTTAGGGAAAGGAATGTATTTGTTTTAGTATCTCATTGTAAAACACCAAATAACGCGCAGCTTTTGTGCCATAACTTGAAACTCGACGTTTTCAAATGAATTTCAGTGACTTCCAGATAGTCGCTTGTTACGAAAAGAAATGTATTTGTCTTGCTGTCTCATATTAAGACTCCAAATAACACGTAGTTTTAGAGCCATAACTTGACATCGACTTCTTCAAATCTATTTCAGTGACTTTCAGATAGTTACTTGTTAGTGAAATAAATGTATTTGCTGTCGTATCTCATTTTCAGACACCAAATATAGTCTAATGGTATATCTTTCAATTTTTGTATATGACATTTATTCATCTAATTTATCTTTATTCATCTATTTATTTGGTAGAAGAGATGAAAATGATGTTTTTTTAATAAAAGAAACATAAAACTGTTCGAGTATAAAAGTGAAATTGAGACAAATAAATAATTTTGCATGAGTTGGTGAAAAGTTTTTTTCCCTCCGCGTCCATAGTTTTAGACAGCATATGGTTATCAATACACTTTCTTGTAGATTAGATAGTACTCCAAATGAACTATCTATCATTTACCTTGTCACTTTAATCGGTGTTTATATATTTTTTTTACTGAAATATTCTAACTTTGAGAGATATATTAAATTATTTCTTTAAATTTAATTTTGTATGATCATTATTATTATTTATGAAATACTGTTTTTTTTTAATTTGATTTATTATGGAACAATATATATTTTTAAAATAGTTGTTCAGTTAGATTTGTTATTACTTTCTACTTTCTGAATCATCAAAGATATTATATAAGCGCATCCGCAACTCTAATCTCTAAAAGAAAAATTTCAAAAATATAGAGTACGGTAAGAAATTGTCAACAATGTAAAAAATTCCGGATTAATTAATGATAAAAAGTACCGACACTTACGGTGCTTGTACATTTCACTGTAAAGTCCATTTCTATTGGAACTAGTTGCAGTACAAAAAACTGGTATACCTTAAATTTTACAGTAATAATTACTTTAAAATCACTAAATCACTGAAATATTACTGTAAAAATTACGGTTAAATAATATAAGGTTAAAATGGATTTAACGGTAAAATGGATTTTACGGCTGATACCCCCAAAGCGCCAGTACTTTATACCATAGTTTTTTATAGAGTCGGCCAATAAAAATTACAATTAAAAACATTTTTGTTTTCATTGAAGATTTTCAAAAAAAATTTGTTTTGTTCCTTTTCTTGTCACTGGCGCTTTAGTAAAGACTTAGTAAGAAAAATTCCAATTTTTGATTATTTTTTTTAAAAATTTACTGTCAATGTTAAAGTAATTTTTGTGATATTCAAATTACAATTTTAAAAGTCAAATCAGCATAATTTATTCAAATTCAACATATGCAATATTTTAAAGGGACCCGAGCAAATAATGAGTTTTTAAAGGCAGGGATTAAACTGATTTCAAAATAAACTAAACATTAAAAAAAATATATATATTTTTATTTCTGCAAATATTGATCTTAGAACAGCAGCAAAGTATTCTCATTAAAATGTCATTTAAAGTATATAAGGATTGAATAAAAAGTAATATAAGATCGTTAGTATTAGTAAATTAATGCATTACTATTAATCGATGCACTAGTCTCCAACCATCTGACGATTCGGACATAAGTTTTGTTCGACGGTTGACATTTATGTTGTTTCATGAATATTTTATGATTGTTATATCGACCTCATCAATGCTTAGAAGTCCTTGCATAACACCACATGTCGTTGGCATACATAATAAATGAGTCGTTATCTTTTCCTTACCATGCAAATATCGATTTTGGAAGAAAAAAAAAGGATTTTGGTAAAAATAGATGCCTGAAACGATGTTGTTCGGATAGATGTTAAGACGAAAATTAAACTTCTGAACACTGTTATCCAATTTTCATAAGGATACGATATTTCGAAGAGTTTTATGAATTGAAAAAAAAAATAATTAAGCCAAAGTAATTGATACGATTTTTGTGAAATGTAATATATAATAAGTTGATCTTAACAGAGTATGTTATAGCTCGTAAGGCAATAGTTTAAGTGATCAATTTTTTGAAAACAAAATTAAAATGTCAGTTATTTTATAATAAAAGTTAATTGTCAATTATTTTATTATAAAGGTAAAGTGCCAGTTATTTTAATACACACATAAAATGTCAGCTATTTCTTAAAAAAGCCAGTTATTTTCATCGCATTATTGTTTGATATCTTAATATTAATAAGAAAACAGAGAAATAATTGAATATAAAAATTAATTACCATGCATTTTTAATATGGATATTATTCGTCGGTGTAAATTACAATAACATAAAGGTAAAATGCCCAAAATGTAAACTACGTATAACTGAAGACCATATTAGATAAGAGTATAGAATATTTAATGCCTTGATTTTGATATTTGAATCTTAGAGAAATTATTAGTGTATCCTTCACTTAATCTTTAATCTCTTTTTGCAATAGTAAAACGTATTAGCATTAAGTATTGTAGATATGTAATATTTGTTGTTCCGCATTATAAGAATGCGAAAGAAGCTGCACGAAATCATGCAAAATATGCTAAATTAGATATGAATCATACTGTCTAAAAAATAGTCAAACAGCATAGAACTTTTATGGCCTCATGTGGATGTCAATGCATGAATATTAAAGCTATAATTATTGTATCTATCACCTAATCTTTCAATTCCTATGTTTATTGCTGTGGCAAAAATTTCGGTGCAATGGTAAAACGGATTAGCATTAAGTATTGCAGGTATGTTATGTTTGCTGTTCCGAATTATACGTATGCAAAAGAAGATGCTCCAAATCATGCAAAATATGTCAAGTTAAAAAAAGAATTAATTGATTGAAAAGTTGCAATAAATATAAGATACACATTTTGACGAAAATTATGTATACTTGGTGACTATTTAAGCTATTTTTTAAAACTCTGCATTGTCTTATAGTTTAACACTAGATTGCCTAAGGAAGTCATTTTGACTGCCTTCCAATTTCAATTTGAAAAACAATTATATATATAATGACACAGCTTCTTAGAATTTTATGACTTTTTGTACAACATATAGAAGCGTTTATTAATCATTGTAATTGCCACCCCCTCCGTCATTTCTGGTAAAAAAAATATGTGTTATACCTATATTGCCTAAAAGCAGTCATTTTTACTACTTGGGAAAGCCGGGATAGCCTGGTTTATAGGGCACTGGGCACAAGTCCAAGGGGGTCGTGGGTTCGATCTTCGCCGGCCGAAGACTCCTCGTGTAGTAAATGGTGACTGATTTTAGCCCACGCGCCTCGTTCCCCTTGAACGCGCTTCAGCGTAATAACCGTGAGCTGCACACGCGTCGACTTAGGATAGGCCTGCTTTATGCAGTGATAGTCGTTCTGACACGTTGTTCAGTTGATTTCTTTTGCGCCCTAAATTCATGAAAGAAATGTCGAATAGAAGGGAGTTATTGTAAAAGCTAAAGAACATAGGTGAACAGTGTTCCGATATAGAATCAGATACAACAAATTGGGAACTATCATCTGAAGATGAATCGGATTATATTCAAAGTGAGACAGCTGATGTTGAAGATAGCGATGAAGAGGCGATCACCAACGATGAAAATGAAGGCGTCATCAATGTGTCCAGGAAAAGGTGTAGGGTGCTAAGTAGTTCAGACTCTGATGAAGAAACTGATAACACCTTTCAAAAGACCGAAACAGCTGCCGATGGTACTGTGTGGTTAAAATTTGACGAAGGTGGAATTCCTGGAAGGTTACCATCTACTTGTGTTTTCAAGGGTGTGAAAGGTCCATCAGGCTACGCAAAAAGGAACATTATGGCAGATAATCTTGTCAGTGCATTCTCGTTGATAATAGATAACTATATTATCGAACATATAAAAAACTGCACAGAAGAAGAAGGCCGCCGAATTTTGGGGAACGATTGGACAACAACATTACCGGAAATCCGTGCATTTATTGGGATTTTATATGCTCGTGGAGCCTACGAGGCAAAAAATTTAAAACTGAGTTATTTATGGTCAGCAAAGTGGGGTCCCGAATTTTTCAGAAGAACTATGACCAGAGATAAGTTCAAGCAAATCCTAATACGATTTATTCGTTTTGACAAAAAAAACGAAAGAAGTAAACGTCTCCAAACAAATAAATTTGCCTTGGTTTCGGAAATATGAGGCAAATTCATTTAAAATAGTCAATCTTGCTATCAACCAGGGTAAAATATAACGGTTGACGAGCAATTATTTCCGACAAAAGCCAGATGTAAGTTTTAACAGTATATGCCTAATAAACCCAACAAATTTGGCATCAAATTCTGATGAATATTCTGGCTTGCATCAGATGTTAGAAGCAAGTACGTTTTGAATGGTTTTCCTTACTTCGGGAAAGATGAACAACGACCATCGTCAATGATTCTCAGTGAACACGTTGTTCTGAAACTTGTCGAGCCATATACAAGCTGCGGAAGGAATATCACGACCGATAACTTTTTCACTAGCATGTCACTCGCGACTAAATTATTGGCCGAAAAAAACAACACTAATTGGAACTATTAGAGGAAATAAAAGAGAGCTTCCCAAAGCAGCCAAACAAACGAAGGATAGCATGTCTCGTTTTTCCACTCTCCTATATAAATCACAAAATTGTGTCCTTACAATATATAAAAGCAAACCGAATAAGAGAGTAGCTGTTCTAAGTTCCAGGCATAAATTTGTGAAAATTTAATAAAAGTAATAAAAAAATGTTACCGAACTCTATTCAATTTTATAACAAAACAAAATTTGGAGTTGATATGGCGGATCAATTGGGCAGAAAATATGCAGTAAAATCTAGTTCTCGTAGATGGCCCCTCCAAATATTTTTCAATATTTTAGATTTGGCTGCTATAAATGCTTGGATCCTTTACAAAGAAGCTACAGGAATACAAATGCAAAGAAAACAGTTCCTGTTTCAATAAGCAGAACAACTTTCCACCGATTACAGAGCTGCAAGGCCAAAAAATTCATCAGAACATGGAGACCCACAAAGATCAACTGCATCATCAAATACAACATATTCTAGCAAACGCAAAATTTGTCAAGTACGACTTTGCCACAAAAGCAAAAAAAATAATATATGTGAAAAATGTCAAAAGTATGTTTGCGGAAGATGTACTCATAAGAAGATTTCCATTTTCATTTGCTTAAAATGTTCAAATAATGAAAGAATTATTTTTTTCCGAGTGAAGTAAGTTTTTTTTGTTGTTAATGCTTATTAATAACTTGTTGCATGACTGTAAAAAATATTAAAAATTAATTTTAAACAAATTTCTTTACACATCAGTTATTCTTTCACAATCCAGCCATTTTGTCTGCTTTTGGGCAATATAGGTATATACTAAGTTTCAGTCTTTCTATAGTGTTAACTGTTTTTGCTTTGTCATACCTTCTTATCAGTACTGATCTGTGATGATGGATTGTGTTGACAACTAATTGGCGCGGAACCATGACAAATGATTTAAGATTGCTGTTGATATTTAAATATTCGGTAGTTTCTGGTGCTTTAAGTATGTTAAAGTTGAGCT